GGCTAGAGAGACGGTGGCAGTGCACCCACAAAGAGGCTGCAAGAACTTCTTATAGGATGTTTATGAGATCCTATGAGATGGCAGTCAAAGCCACAAAGTGTGAATTTTATGTGGCTACGATTGCGTCTGCGACCTTGCGCCCAGCCTGATTATTTAGAACAATTTGGTCCTCGACTGCTCTGCCACAAGGCAGGCCAAACGCTAGGGAATTGGATATTGGCTGTGAGGCCTTTGCAAGCTACTTTGCAGATAAAGTCTTGCTGCTCTGCTGTGACCTCCTTGCCACATTGGAGACACTGGTCGAACTCAAGGCTCCACGCACATCTTCAAGTCAGATTATGGATCATTTCAGTTCACTCAGCCTAGAAGAAGTCAACAAACTGCTATCTAGATCCAGGCCCGCCTAGATCCAGGCCCGTCATGGCTAATTAAAGCTGGCCGCAACGGGTTTCGAGGTGCTCTAAGTGAGATCATTAACAAGTTCCTCATTGAGGGACTGTTCCCTAGGGCACTTCCATCTCTGGACCTGGCTGAATTGGCGAATTACCGGCCCTATCTGGGCAAAATAGAGAGGGCTGTGGCAATTCAGCTACAGAGCTTTTTGGATGACGCTGTCATCTTAGATCCCTTCCAGTCCAGTTTTCACCCAATATGTAACGACTCCCACTCACTGGACTGGACACATGCTTCGCGGCCGGGGTAACAGTGGACCAAATTACTGCCTTGGCAGTACCATGGTCAGACCACCATGCCCTTAGGGCCTGTCTAAATGTTTCACTCCGACCCTGTTTAGGCGGCGAGCGTAAGCTTGCCCGTGGAGCCAAATGGACCCTGTACGGTTTCAGACAGTTCTGTGGGATCTGATGCCCCCTAGCGGCTTGTTGGATGAGCTTGTAGAGGATTGGTACAACTGACTCTCTGCAGCTATTGATGAGATTGCTCCCCGGCGCCCTCTGCGCTCCCGCTCTAGGCTTGCTTCCTGGTTCACCAAGGAGTTGCAGCTTATGAAACGAGGGATGAGATGGCTAGAGAGACAGTGGTGGTGTGCTCACGATGAGGCTATAAGAGTATCTTATAGGACATTTATGAAATCCTATGAGATGGCAGTCAAAGCCACAAAGAGAGAGTACTATGTGGCTACGATTGCGTCTGTGAGCTCATGCCCAGCCCAATTATTTAGAACAATTCAGTCTTTAACTGTTCTGCAACAGGGCAGACCGAATCCAGGAGAATTGGACATTGGCTATGAGGCTTTTGTGAGCTATTTCGCAGACAAAATCCTGTTGCTCTGCCACGATCTTCCCGTCACAGCTGATACAGTGAGTGAACTTGAGGCTCCATGCACGTCTTTGAGTCAGGTTATGGATCATTTCAGTCCGCTCAGCCTAGAGGAGGTTGACAAATTGCTCCTAGCTGTACGTCCTCCCACATGCTGCCTTGACCTGTGCCCGTTGTGGCTAATTAAAGCCAGCCACGATGGGTTGCGTGGTGCCCTAAGGGAAGCTATCAACCAGTCCCTCACAGAGGGACTGTTTCCTTGGGTGCTCAAGGAAGCGGTGGTGCATCTTCTCTTGAAGAGGCCATCACTGGGTCCAGCCGAATTGGCTAACTACCGGCCAGTTTCCAATTTGCCCTATTTGGGCAAAATAATAGGGCTGTGGCAATTCAGCTACAGAGCTTTTTGGATGACGCTTCCATATTAATTCTCTTCCAGTCCGGTTTTCGCCCAGGCCATGGGACGGAGACAGCACTGGTCATCCTCACGGACGATCTCCGGAGGCATCTGGATCGAGGCAGTTTGGCGGTACTGTTGCTTTTGGACCTGTCGGCAGTGTTTGACACCTCGCTGACATAGGAGTTCAGGGGCTTGCCTTGCAATGGCTTGCCTCCTTACTCCATGGTCGGGGATAAAGGGTGGCATTAGGAGAACAGCTCTTCCAAAGGTACCCACTGGAGTGTGGGTGCCTCAAGGGGTGGTCCTTTCCCCGATGTTATTCAACATCTATATGTGCCCCATTGTCCAGATCGCCTGGAGTTATGGGCTGGGATGTCACCAGTATGCAGATGACACCCAGTTCTATCTGATGTTGGGCGGTCAGTCTGGCTCCAGACCAGAAGATCTGGACCGGACGTTACAAGCTGTGGCTGGTTGGCTTAGACTGAGCTGACTGAAATTGAATCTGACAAAGACGGAAGTCCTGTGCCTGAGCTGAGGTGGTCCGGGGATAAGGATCCCACTCCTAACCTTCGATGGGGCACCATTGGTTCCAGTGCCAGAAGTTAGGAGTTTGGGAGTGCTCTTGGATGCATCGTTAACAATAGAGGCTCAGGTAGCAGCCACTGCCAGGTTAGCCTTTTACTATATTCGGTTGATCAGGCAATTGGTTCCCTTCCTTGAATGCAATGACTTGGCAACGGTGATCCATGCGATGGTCACCTCAAGATTATACTACTGTAACACTCTCTACATGGGGCTGCCCTTATTGCAAATTCGGAAGCTGCAGCTAGTGCCAAATGCTGTGGCCAGGCTCCTGATGGGTCTCCCCATGAGGGAGCACATCCATCTTGTCCTGAAGGCATTGCACTGGCTGCCAATAGCATACTGGATTCGCTTCAAGGTGCTGGTTCTTACCTTTAAAGCCCTTTAGGGCCAGGGTCTGACATATCTGAGGGACTGCCTTTCCCTATATAGACTCCAGAGAGCACTATGGTCAGGATCACAAAACCGATTGGCCCTCTCAGGTCCCAAGGATACCAGGCTGGCTGCAACCAGGGCCAGGGCTTTCTCAGTGATGGCTCCATACTGGTGGAATGAGCTCCCGGAAGAGATCAGGGCCCTACAGGACCTTTTACAGTTCTGCAGGGCCTGCAAGATGGAGCTCTTCCACCAGGCCTACAACTAGGAGCCGCCACCATTAGCAACAACAACTGAAACTTACACAGCCTGGTCCTTGGTTTGTTACTGACAGCCTGTGCCTACCGATTATATCTGAGAAGATCAGTGACCTGAACATTTAGACAATTATGGTTTGCACTCATGTGGTACTGCCATCTTTATGATATCACAGAACGCTGCTAGCACTTTAATATTGTATTGTTTTTAATGAACTGCTTTTAGATGTTTTATGGTAATTTGATGGTTATTTGTGTATTTGCCCTGTGTAAGCTGCCCTGAGCCTGCCTTGGTGGGGAGGGCGGAGGATAATATGGAAAAAATAAAATAAAAATAAAATACTGGAATTGCTTATTGACTTTTTCCCAAACTGAAAAAAAGATAGAAACCCCCCCCCCCCATCTCTCTCTCTTTTTAAAATAGCACATAAGGGCTAGAGATTGCAAGGATGCAAAAGATTCTGTGCTTGCTTCCATATTCTTCAAATGTAGCTTATGGGTTTATGAGCCTTCGCCCCATGGAAGGTTCGACCATATCAGTATACTGTATTGTAGAGTAGAAAAATTACTGGTGTTAATTTTGCTGACGGAAAACCTTATTTTAGCCTTGGAAAATATTGTGAGTTCTACCTTGAGTTCTACCATTTCTCAAATATGCCTAACTGAACAATTGAACAGAATTCAACAAAGCAATTGAACAGAATTCAACAAAACAATTGAACAGAATTCAAGAAAAAATATGCCTAACTGAACAATTGAACAGAAAGTGAAGTGTCTCCCCTGTCCCCGTTTTCTTTCTTAAATCTAGGTCTTGTCTGGTTATGCTACCTGTACTAAATTGGGTTAGCATGATTAAAAGGGGATATCATTTTTATTCAGGCTGCTCAAAGCTCTTTATTTTTAACATACATTTAACTAAAACACTGGGGAGAAGTCCACTTCTTGTTAAGAATTCAGCATCCCCACCCATCTAATTAAGATCTGAGAATACTCTCTGTACATGTGTCTGACTTAGCAAAGAAAGATCACCAGCAAACTAGGTGAAGCAAAACTTTGGAATGCTTATAAGTAGACAAATTTGTCCAGGGACTCTCCTCTACCTTTATATCTAGAGCTGCTAAACCTGTGATTATCACACACCCGCACACACTGGAAACTTGGAATCTATGCATTTATATATGCATTTTTGTTGACTGTGATGAATCAAGCCTTTTCTGTCTTCAGCAGAAATCCAGGGAGCAGACAAGTGCTAACACTTTCACTGCTATAGGCAAGGCAAGTGATAATCAGGTTAGCAAGTGGTTACATGCAACCTGGGGTTAAGTTACCACCTGATATTCATGCTTGATGTAAATATGATTACGGTTGAGATGTAAGAGAAACAGAAAGTGCCAAAAACATTAAAGTTGTAGTATTTTTAAGTATCCCCTATGTTTAATCCTAACATTTATTATGAAATAATTTCATATTATTCTGGTGGAACTTGTTTCTGTGTAAATTTGGCTATGGGATTGTATCCTTCACTTGCCATTTAAAGAACTCTTACACTCACATACTAAGTATTATTAGCCACAGTATTATATATATATTTATATGTGTGTGTGTACACACATACATATATAAAAAACTTAGTATTTGAACTATGTTCCATTTGTTACTATTATGAATTCCTTAGAATACCTTTATATTGGTCAATCTAAGTGAAGATGCAAATTTGTACGTTCAAAGGTGGGGGGGGATTTTATAGTATATTTTGTCATATTTTTACAAACTTCTGGTTGTATCTTAAGCCGTGCTGTTATCCTGCGAATCCCTGTTTTACAGGGCATGTGATGAAAGAAGTCCTCCTCATGGCATCTGTTGATAGTGACTC